TTCAGAACAAAACCAGGTCAAAGAAGAACACAACACACACCTTTTCCAGCATAGGAAACATGAATATGAAGTTTGCAGGAAAGGCTTGGAAGTCCACATACCTGATGCTCAGAAGGCTGGTGGAGCAACCGAAGGCCATCCATGAGATGGCCTTGCTTGGGGAGATTGGGATCAGCAGCCCCCTGAACAGAGCTGAGTGGGGTATGATCCCAAATCTTGATGGTCCTCAAGGCCTTCCTCAAAGCCACCAAGACCCTTAGCGCTGGCAATGCCCTCCTCAACCAGGTGATCCCCATAGTGAGGGAATTTGAGAACCAAATGGAGAAGTTCCAGGGGATCAATGTTCCTGACTGGGGTAAGCCACTGTCACCAGACATGCAGGCACTGGTGAGATGGCTGAAGAAGGGCATCAGGAGATGGCTGGATTCCTTGCAGTCCAGCATGGTCCACATGCTGACAGGCATGTGTGACCCAAGGGTGAAGAGGGGCATGTGCACTGGAGGCACCAAAACCCTCAATCACTGGACACAAGTGCTGGTCAACACAGTCAGGGAGGCCAAAGGGCAGAGGAGAGGGGATGTTGAAGAGGGGGATCCACTTTTCCATGCCAGCACTCCCAGCACCACCACCAGCACCAGCTAGTCTCCTCAACGCCAGCCACTGCCAATGTGGGCCAAGGGCATGGCTTCAATGCTGGTGTCCAAACACACCAGATCCCAGCCTCGGGCAGGTAGGCAATCTATCTCACTGAGGATGTGGAGCCACTGGACTGCGACCCCTTGGCCTACTGGGCAAACCACAGCCAGATGTGGCAGGATCTGGCCTTGGTTGCTCAGCAACACCTGTCCTGTCCACCAACCAGTGTTCCATGAGACAGGGTGTTCAGCATTGCTGGGGATGTTATGACACCCCACCTCACCCGCTTGGATCCTGGTTTGGTGGAGCAGCTGGTGTTCTTGAAAGTGAACCACTTTTCAGAGCTGGGCCTATGAACTGCACTTCATCAGCCTCCTCGGTAGTATGTACAGATACTCATGGACTCAATATACACAGTAGAACTCTGACACATTGCAACCTGCCAGACATTTGACTCCGCAGGTACCTCTGCAATTTTACCTGCACTGCTAAATCCCCCTTCCCCCCTGGACCCCAGCCTGTCCCTCAGCCCATGGTGCCTCCATTTCCATTTTCACTGACTGGATTTATTGCCTGCATTGTGTGCCAGACCAGCCTCTGGCTTCTTTATTATTCCTTCCATCCAGGACCAGGAGACACACCAACTGCAGGTGCTTCCTCAGCCTGACAAAGGGTTTTTCAACCCAAAAGCTTCCCAAGATATATTTCTCTAACTATTCAGGTTTTTTTTCACAATAAACATATAAACATAAACACACAAGATAAGCCATGACACACCATAAGTAACATATATCCAACACAACATCTTTACTTCTTGCTTTCAATTCCTTTATAAAAAGAAAGGCTCTGTGACAATTTGACTAGGCTACCAGAGATGCTGCTGGTGCAACTGTGCTAGTGCTGCTCACTCACTAAGTTATTGTTACCTGCTGCCATTTACAGTGGTGGACCGAACTGAGGCTGCAGGGGAGGTGGAGACCTCACTGGGGCACACTGACATGTTGAGCAGAGACCCCAGCACCAGGAAGGGTGCACTTGAATACACACACAGTCGCACAGTGAGGGCACACCTAACAGAAACACACTAGGTGCTCCTACTTGAGAGGAAAGGAGGGCCTGACAGTTCAGTTTGGTTACCTT